ATTTTCCATCCAAATCTCATTTTGAAGAGGATGCAATTACCTACAATTCATATTCATCCCAGAAGTTCAAGATATGCACCCACAAAAAGATATGACTTTCTACATTATGGGTCCTTTTGAAAAGTCAACAAAAACACATTTTGGGTCAAAGCTTCTTACATGAACATGGAAGACTCAATTGAGATGATACCAAAAGGGTTGCTTAGGGTACATCCTAAACTTTCCAAAAAGTCCAAGAACACCTCTCTAGGGTTAAAATTGGAAGAGATATGCCTTGTCAAAGTTGACCCTTTTTGCAAAATTGCCAAAAGTCAAATGTGCTCAAAATGCATTTTTTGCTAAATGGGCCTAACTTTTTATGCTTGCACCTCACTTATAATGTGATCCACGATTCAAATATTCACCCACACATTATTTGCTTCATTTTTCAATTTATTTTGATTTTTCTTAATTAAAAATTGAATTAAGTCAAATAATTGATGAATAATAGCAAATATATGATTTGATTTGGTTTTTGTACAGGTTGGCAATCAAAATATGCTGAGTTATCAAGGCCAAAATGAATCAAGCATAATTGGTACAAGAAAGGGATGATTTGGCTCAAAATAGAAATTTTACATGTAGCTTGAAAATCATATCAAATATCTCATAATTGCAAAGATTCAATCCAAGTTTGTAACCCTAATTCATTCCTAGACATATATATTGGACAAGAACAAAGCATGACACAAGCTTTTGCAGTCGTGAAAGTGAGAGAACAAAAAGCTCAAAATTGGACAAAAGTGGTGACACGGTTTTCATTCAACAGGCCATCTCAAAGCCATTTAAAGCCAACAACCTCTTCCCGGGTGTGCATTAAAGCCAATTGGATCGTTTGCAAGGCCTGAAACACCCAGAATCGCGCGTTACAAGTTCACTCGGTTTGCTTTTTTTTCAAAATCTATTACTGTATTTCTTGCATCATTAGCATGATTAATTGGTATATTTGTGATGTTTGAGATGTTTGTAAGCTAACTACATGATTCGATTGAATTTTTGACGCCTATATGTGCCTTTGCCATTGTTAGGGTTTGCGTGTGCAGTTTAGGGGTTTGTTCTACAGGTTAAATTGGGCAAAAAGAAGGGTACCATGATGTTCACAAGATCAAAACGAGTTGATCTATATAGTTATATTTTCATATATCTTGCATTTTGTGGATTTTTGAATGTTACAGGGCTATGGTTACAAACATTATCCGTAGGTATAGGTGAACACCTAACACGACAGAGCCTTGAAGAAGACGACTAGGTGGCAGCCCCCCATTGGAGTTTTTGAATCTTCGCGCGTTTTGTTTTGTTTGTCAACTAACCACTTTTTATATATATTATATATTCTTCTCATCATACTTACAACTAACAACCATAACTCAGTTGGCAACGCTTCAGTGGTAGCAAGCGTGTGGACCTGGGTTCGATCTCAGGTCCCAACGATTTTCTTTATTACATTTTATTGCAATAGATTCAATGCATCCCAATCCCAAGCGCCTTCCATACACCCTTGCGTCTAGCCATTTGATCAAGCATACTATCAGATCTAATGCTCCAGCAGTGAGGGACCATGATGCACCCTCAAGTCAACGCTACAAGGAATCAAATGCTGACCGGGCTTGAAGGGTTATTGGGCTTGAAAAATTCAGATTGGCACCCCCTATTTGCTAGTACACAAGCCCAGTTTGCATTTTCTTTCTATTTATTTTTTAATTTCTTGAATTAATTTCTTTAATTGTTTTAATTAATTAACACAAAATTATTATTTTTTATAAAACTAAAAAATCACAAAAAATACATAATTAAATATTATTTATTCAAATTAATATTTTTGGAAATAAATTAGGTTAATTAGTTTATTTGATTATTTGTTTTAATTAAATAGAAATTAGGTTTTAAATTTTGAAATTAATTTGTTTCTTTTTCTCAAATAAAAAACCAAAAAAATACACAAAATCTTTTTTTTAAAAAATATTTTATTTTCTTGAAATGATTCAATTTAGTTTGAGTTAGGTTAATTTTAATTTATTTTTTATAATTAAAATAATTAGGATTAGGGCTTTAGTCGTACATAACTTAATTAATTCTTTTCTCAAAAAATAACTTAAATATTTTCTAGTCAGATTTCTAGGGTCTTCAATTTCTCCTCGCATTAAATTTGTCGCGTGCATTTTAATTTGTTTTATTATTATTGTACCTGTTTCGAGCTTGTAATAGTTTTAATTAGGGTTTTAAGTTTCCGCATTTTCATTTTTCGTCGAGATAATTATGTAACTGTCAAAGCCTTGTAATATCTAGGTTTATTTTTCGCACTTTAAATTCCTGCAAATATTTAACTGTCTAGATGTATGCTAATAGGATTGTATGGGAAGATTACTTGAAATTAAAACGGTAGATCACCTAATGTGCAAAGATTAAATAACTTAAACAATTCATATGCACATATTCACTCCTAGGATTTACCTCACTTCGGTTGCTTTCGGTAAAACAGTCATTAAGCATAGGAGATTTTAGTGGTTGCCCTCCAGTCTAAAAGACCAAATTGTCCCATTTGAATGTTGTCTCGGAAATGTTGACTCAGAAATGTTGCCTCAGGAAAGATCTTAAGACTCTAGGGTTACTACTAAAGTTTTCTGACTGTTACTTTAGTGATTGTACTTGTCCCTTTCGAATGTCCCTTACAAACTCCAACGACGGAGCTACCTACTCCTTAATAGTAGGAAAGCGCTGCCTAAAGGAAACGAGAACGAACAATCTTTTTTTTCCGAGTAGGTAGAATCTTAAGTACTTGCTCAATAAAAACTTTTCACACAAACACCTTTCAAACAAATTTTCAAAACAAACTTCGTCACATCCTTGAGCACTGATACAAGGGTTGTCACGAAGTAAAACATTTTCAAGAACAAACAAGCACACACACAAGCAATTTGAAAAATGAGCAAGTACCTAAGAGCCCATGGAAAACCATGGATAGAAAGAGTGCTAACACCTTCCCTTTCTATAATCTACCCCCGTACTCAGAATATCTCGAAAAAAGGTTTTTTCTGTTCTTTTTTCCTTTTCCATGATTGGATGAAATAAAAGTCGGTGACGACTCTTGCTTACCGCGATATTTTGCGAACAAAAAACGCAAAACACAAACTAGTAAAAATAGTCGGTTCTGCCACTGTATCACACATGAGATTATCCCCATGGAACATAACCATGTCGACCAAAAGAGTGAGGCTCATGCCCGACCTAATCGAGGACGGACTCTATCAACATGCTTTATCGCGTAACGCATTCAGATTAGGTCTTATATACTGTTTAGGTCAAACACATGTCCTGTTCAGAACAATAATCATACATGTGATAAATGTTTATTTGTGATAATAATTAAAGTGAAATTATTTTATTGATAAAAATAAATTGCGACATTTTGAATGCAATAATTTTATTATTAATAGTTAGAACTTAATTATTGGCAATAGAGAAATAAATAGAAATAAAATTATAATAAATTTTATAAAAAAATGTGAAAATATTATTTTGATAATAATTTATAAATCATGTATATTGAATACGTTTTTTTAATATATTTTTATTTTAAAAACAATAAATTTTATTGGTTAAAATTTTCATTCTTATTACATTTTAGAAATAAATGCGTGTGGCGCATCATTATTGATACGACCGCACATGTATCAAAACTAGAATTCGTGCGGCCATAAATTATTATATTTTTTATATAATTAAAGAAAATAAAAATAAAAATATTTTAAATAATATGTAAATCTAAACATGGGAAAAATATATTTATTTATGTTTTTAATATTTATTTATATAATTAAAATAATATTTTCAAATACTATGTTATTAGTTGCTATTTATAAAACTAAATGATTATATAAATATTTTTATAAATAATATCTAAACAAATTTAGTATTTACATATGAGAAAATATACGGTCGATCCAATATATGAAAAAATAATATTTATTTTCCAAATAAAAATAAAAATATGTTTTTCTTTTAAAAATAATAAATTTTTTTTACTAAATAATTTTATTCTTCTGTTTTTTCATTCTTATTACATTTTAGAAACATATGTATGCAACACACTTGTATTTCTGTGAGCACACGAGTGTTCAAATCAGAATCCGTATAAACTTATGAGTTATTGCATTTTTTTATACAATTAAAAAATAAAAATAAAAATATTTTAAATAAAGAATGAATAAAAAAACGAGAAAAGTGTGTTGTTTTTAATTATTTATGTTATTAACATTTTTATTTTAAAATTATTTTTAATTTAAGATATAATATTTTTTAAAATGATATATAAAAAATTAAAATATATATTATTAATGTAAAATAATTTTGATAAAACAATATTGTTGTTATTTTAAAAATATATCATTTTTAAATAATAAACTTTTTTAATAAAATAAATTTTGTTTTTTCAATTTATATTTTTATTATATTTTAAAAACAAAAACCTACATACCATTAGTACCCGTACGTACGAATCAACGACAAATACAAATCAAATTTTAATTATTCCGTATTACAAATAACTTCATATAAAAACAAACACAAATTTCACACTTTTCAAACTTGAATTTTGTATCTCAATAAAAAAATAAAAAAAATCAGACTTTTCGAAATCAATCAAAAACAATATAAAGAAACAAAAATTGATCAGTTAGGTGAATTACCGGTGGAGTAAAGAGCATATTCTTCCTATATGGTTCGTGGTGGTGGGTCCACCTCACCAAAACAAGAGTCTCATGATATAATACTAACCAAAACTCATATCAACCGTTCATTCATCCTTCTTTTTCACACGACCAACGTTCCAGATTCAACACCCTTAACTAACTGCCACGTGCCACACGCGTGCTTATTCATTTTCACCTCATTGTCACTTTTTCTCGAGAAACACCGAGAAAATTTTCAAATTCTCACATTTCGATCATCATCGACTCTTAACAATGGTAACGATCCAGTTCATCAAAGCTCGTCAGATCTTCGACAGCCGTGGGAATCCAACCGTCGAAGTGAGTGTTCTTTCTTCTTTTGTTGTGTTTACCAGCTCAGAAAATGAGCGGGAAAATTGAAACGATGTTTTTCGATTACTTTTATCTGTTTTGGTGTGTTTTTTATTTGTTTTTAGGAACTTGTTTATGTGGAGTTATCTATGGATTTTGATTTGGGTTTTGTTGTTGTTGTTGTTGTTGTTAGGTTGATGTTACTCTTAGTGATAAAACTTTTGCTAGAGCTGCTGTTCCTAGTGGTGCTTCAACAGGTAGCTTCGATTGATGTCTGTTTGAGATATTTGGCTTTTGATTGTGTGTTTATGTTTGTGTGATTTGAGGAACATTTAGAGTTGCTGCATTTTTGTAGTAATTGTTGTTTGTGTTGGAAGAAAATAGGAAGGAATGTTGAACTTGGAGTTATGTTTTGTTGTTTCTAATTCTATCAAACATACATGATTCATGTGACTTACGTACTATGTGGGATTCACACTTTTTAGGTTTATTGAATTATTATTGTCAGACATTTCCGATGTAATACCAACATATGTTTAAACAATTTCTTTTTCTCAAATTATTTACCAACATCTACTTGTCCACATTGTGTCTTGTGTATGAGGCTACGTGCTTCATAGTTTTTGTGTTTTACTGATGTTCATTGATTGTATTGTAAATTTCCATCTGGTTTTAGCGTTGGCTGGTAGTTCATAAAGTTGTGTGTTATGAGTCATAACCAGTGATGTCAATGGCTCTCCATGGCCGAGGCCAAAATCCTGCCATATCGGCCACTTTGTGGCACCGTTATAGCGGTTTATGGCGGAAAAGCCTGCAATATCAATTAATACTTATCGTTATGGTGAGCCTAAAAATCGCCATGTATATACACTGCCATGGCGGATATTTGATTACATTGGTCATAACTTGTATTGTTTTTTTGTTTAAGGTGTCTATGAAGCTCTGGAACTGAGGGATGGGGGCTCAGACTACCTTGGGAAAGGTGTTCTCAAGGTACATGATAAATCTTTATCACATTGGTGTATTGAGAAGTTATTTTCTATTTCTATTTTAAGAAAGAATGATGGATTTCCTTTTAAAATTCATGGACTATTTTTTGTTTTTTTTCCTGAATTAATTGGAGCTGATGATATGATTCCAAATTTGTCTTCGTTTAGGCTGTTGAGAATGTGAATGCAATCATAGCACCTGCTTTGCTTGGAAAGGTATTGTGCATCTATAACATTGTGTTATGTGGAGGAGCTATGTCATATTGTTTTTAAATCATTCTTTTAGTGTGCGACTGATTTATTATATCATTTGTTATCTGTGTTTATAGGACCCAACTAAGCAGACCGAAATTGACAATTTTATGGTACAACAGCTTGACGGAACTGTTAATGAGTGGGGATGGTGCAAGCAGAAGGTATCTCATGATTCCTTTTTCTTATTTCTTGTGGATGCTTTTTTGGAGACGGTTAAGAGTTCCATATCGAACAATATATGCCCCGAACAATGTATGGCCGGAATATGTCTTCACCCTAAAAACTGGTTTTGTATGGTTGGGTTAGGCCCAACCACATTTTCTTAACAGAGACTATAATGACCATTGGTTTTATGCTGATTGGTTTCTGCAATCTTGAAATTTTCAGCTCGGAGCCAATGCTATTTTGGCAGTGTCACTCGCTGTTTGTAAAGCTGGTGCTTTAGCAAAGAAACTTCCCCTGTACAAGGTATGGTTGGTTGGTATCACTTTGAGGAACAATAGTTTTCATCTTCTTAGCTTGCGTTCTCATGGATTTCTTTGGTGCTATTTCAAAAACATTTAAGCATATTGCAAATCTAGCTGGAAACAAGACTTTGATACTGCCTGTACCTGCATTCAATGTTATCAATGGAGGTTCACATGCAGGAAATAAGCTTGCAATGCAGGTAAAATCTATCTAATATAACATATCAAATGAATAGGATTACGTTTTGCCAGAATATTTATCTTTCTGTCTCTTATATAGGAATTTATGATTCTCCCTGTTGGGGCATCTACTTTCAAAGAAGCAATGAAGATGGGTGTAGAAGTATACCATCATCTGAAGGTCAATCTCCTTTCTACAACTTTCTTTAGAGAAAACAAAATTTGTGACTTTTTATTTATTTAGTGTCATCAATTAAGATGCTGTTTTGCCATACAGGCTGTTATTAAAAAGAAGTATGGACAAGATGCTACTAACGTGGGCGATGAAGGTGGCTTTGCTCCTAATATCCAGGTTCTCATGCTCTTCTTTTGGTTTTTCTGATCTAAGTGTTACCTAAAATTAGTTCATGATTTGATTTCTTGCAATTAGTAGCAGGCAAGGTTTTAAATAACGGTTGCGTCGCGGTTGTGTAAAGACTTTTGGGTTTTCGGTTGTCGCGGTGTGAATTAACCAAAATTTGTCTTTATCACAAGAACAGTGAATAACAGCTATCAGCACCTTTCGATATTGTTTTTGCGGTAACGGCTTGTTTTTTAAAACCTTGGTAGCATAGCAGGCTCATTTATTGTTTGCATATTAGGAAATTCTGTACTGCGATAATCCAAATGTGCAGTCAAAATAATTATTTCTGTTGTTTTGTATTCTATATAGGATAACAAAGAAGGACTTGAGCTTCTAAAGACCGCCATTGCAAAAGCGGGTTATACTGGAAAGGTTGAATATCATCCACTGAATCGAACTAAGTATTTTAATAAATTAATAAATGTTACTGATTAATTTCTATCTCTACAGGTTGTTATCGGGATGGATGTTGCTGCCTCCGAATTTTATAATAACGAGCGAAAAACATATGACTTGAATTTTAAGGAAGAGGTAAACAGCTTTTAAACTTTTTCCTGAAGTTCTTCTTTTCTATTCCTTTCGATATATATCACATTGGTAAATGCGTTAACTACATAATAACTGACTACCTTGTTGCAGAACAACGATGGATCGGAGAAAATTTCAGGAGACAGCTTAAAGAATGTCTACAAGTCATTTGTGTCGGATTACCCGATTGTGTCCATTGAGGATCCATTTGATCAGGATGACTGGGAGCATTATTCGAAATTAACAGCTGAAATTGGCCAGCAAGTGCAGATTGTTGGTGATGATCTCCTTGTTACCAACCCAAAGGTATGTTTTATTAACTTAAAATATTTGCTAGCTATGTTCCATAAACATGCATCCTTTTGTTTTTAACACTATTCTATCTGTTCTTGGCTCTTTAGCGTGTGGAAAAAGCAATTAAGGAGAAGTCTTGCAATGCCCTATTGTTGAAGGTGAATCAAATTGGCAGTGTAACTGAAAGCATTGAAGCTGTGAAAATGTCTAAACAAGCTGGCTGGGGTGTCATGGCTAGTCACCGAAGGTATTGAACATCCATTGTTTCCTGATAATTTCCATTTTTGTTCTGTTTTCTAATACTCATTCTCTGCCTATTTACTCCAACGTGTTACATCTTGTTTATTGTAGTGGAGAAACTGAGGATACCTTCATTGCTGATCTCTCAGTTGGGTTAGCAACAGTAAGTTATCATTTGATTTTTTCCAACATTGTCGTGTTTTTTTATCTGTCTCATAAGTGCATTTGCCAAACAATTTGTGTCGAGAATTGGAAACTTTTTACCTTCTTTGTTGAAGCTTATATGATTTGATCATGTTATCGTTGTTTAACAGGGTCAGATCAAGACGGGAGCTCCCTGCAGATCCGAAAGGCTTGCTAAGTACAACCAGGTAAAACTGCAAAACTCTTCATCTCTTTCAATTAATATAGCTGAATAGTGAATATGGTAACTTCATAAGTTAGAACGTTGTGGTGACTAAAGTTATACCTCTTGATCTGTGTTGCAGCTTCTTAGGATTGAAGAGGAACTCGGAGCTGCAGCAGTCTATGCTGGTTCCAAATTCAGAGCCCCGGTGGATCCCTATTGATATTTCGAACAAGTTTCTGTTGACGTTGACGTTGACAGGGGCATATATGAAATATTTCTGCTCTTACTAAATTGTTTCTATAAAAGAATGTTTTTCTTTGAAGAACTCTAAAAGAGTATATAGTTTTGTGGATTGTGTAATTGTGGAATGAGAAAAATAGGGGATTGAACTTTGATCGGAAAATATACTTTTGAATGACATAAATCGTAAAATTTGTGTTTTTTTTTTATGGGTACATGTCCTTGAGCTCATTCACTTTGAATAAGGAATGCAATCACTAAAACTTCATTAAAGTTATATTTTGCATATCATAAAATGAATGGAGCAAATAATGAAATGGAATGAAATTCAAACTATTCTAATCGATCCTATATGATATTAATTGATCCGAACAAAAGAATTTCGTTCCAATCTATGCCGCTTCATTTAGTCTCATTCCATCCAAAGCAAGCTAGAATTTTGATTAAATTTTGATTTTGTTCAAAATGAAGGAAAAGAATAACGAGGGAAAAAAATAAGGTAAATTCCTCGTTACCCATGAGTTTAAGTTGAGGATTTGTTAACCCTCTAAGAGATTTTTTAACCCACTTTAGTTTTTGGAAATATAATTTTAGAATGTGCTATGAGTGAAACTTTATTATTAGATGTTTTGTATGATGTCAAAACTAGGAAAATTTAATATTTTTGTATATTAACGACATCTCTATGTCATGTGACACTTCTTTGCATTAGAGGTCTTAGGAATCATTTAAAACAAGTTTAAAATTGATCTCAATCATGAAAAATCAGTTTATGCACAAAGAACATTCTTATGTGTCGACCTGAAATTTGTACGTGTCGACACATAAATTCACAATTTCTGCAATATCTTAAAAGCTTCAGTATGTGTGGACACATACGATTTATACGCCGACACATGTGCTTCAATAATAAAGCCTTCAACATTTCTGCTTTAAAACACAGGCACATGTGTTGACACATATGATTTATGTGTCGACACATATACTACATTTTTAAATCCTGTAGCTACTGTTTTGTATGTGTCGGCACATAACCTTTTCAGGTCGACACATACTGTTTTATGGGTCATTTTTTCATTATGAAACTTCACTCTTTTGCCTAAAAAGATCCCAACTATAAATATATCATTCATGCATCATTCCAATTTGATGATACCATAAAATTATCCTACATTTTCTCTTCATCTTCAACCTCCAATCTATGCATACACTAACAAATCATCGTAGTAATATTTTATTGGGGTGTCATCTAGATGAGATCCAATAACGTCCAATTAGATTCTTGTGAAATCGAGAAAATTGAGTTGAGATTTGCAGGGGTCTTCATTCGGAAAAACAATGGGTTTGTCCTCCAAGATCATTGATTGATTTGGGGATTTTCGTGCAAGACATTCAAAAGAGAATTGCGGTCAAGTGACAGATCAAATTGAAGTCTTGTGTTGCAATAATTGTAATTAATGGTGCGCAAAAATTTTGGAGATGAAGAATGCAAAGGAGTGACAAGATCCAGATAGTCAATTGACAATCTATTGTGTGCTTGATCTTGTTCAAGATTAAAAGAAGAGAAGGTGTTGAAATAACATCAAGCGGTTATGATTTATAAGGTTGCTCTTGAACACTTCTCTTGTAATCATATTTTTTGCAAAGTAAGAAAGTATCCTAATTCAACATTCGAATTGGACGCAGACGTACCCACAAGAAGAGAAAGTGTCGAATCAACATCAAACAATTATGGTTTGTAGGATTACTCTTGAACACTTCTCTTGTAATCATACTTTTTGCAAAGTAAGAAAGTATCCTAATTCCACATTGAAATTGGATGCAGACATACCCACACGCGAGGACGAAAGTGGGGAACTGTGTAGACAAATCCTTGTGTCTATTTTCCTTTATTGTTTTACTTGCTTTAATTTTTATATATCAATTTGTCGAGTAACATTGTTTAATTGATTGACTCGTAAGAATTTTTCTGCAATTGTTTTGTTTAAAGTGGCTTGTTGATTAGTTTATAATCACTTTGGTTATAAGGAGTTTTCATATCAATACAACTCAAAGAAAAATTCTGAAAAGTCGAACGTACACCAAGTGTTTGACAAATTATAATATTCTATCTCTTACTCTTATTTACTCTCTATATGCAATTTGTTGAATGTGTTGTTTGATCGATCGATTCATATAGAATTTCTTTTTGATTCTTAAAGTTTAAATTACTTTGTTGATTAGCTTATAATCACTTTGATTGTAAGTGTTTTTTCATATCAACAAAGCTTAAAGAAAATTCAGAAAAATTGATTGTGCGCCACATGTTCGATAAATTGTCTAGTTATATTTTTAATATGATTTTATTGGAAATAGGAAACCATTGTGTTTGATATTAAACTATTAATTGAGATATTATTATGTTGATTGACTTTATCATTATCTTAATTCTATATGACTTGTGCATATCCTAGTTTTCAATAACTAAGTTCGTTTAGACTACTATTTTGATCTAGGTTAAAAACCTCCCACTCAACATTGTTTTTCAAATAAGTTTTCAAAAAACAAATTTGAAAGGTGATTTTTTATTTTGGAATCTATTCATTCCCTCTAGATAAGTCGTTATAGTCTAATAAGTGGTATTAGAGCTCCGATTAATTCCATGCTTTGAAACTCTTATTAGAAAATGGTGTACGAACCTAAAGGGGATTACAAAAAAACCTCAAATTTTTTCCGGGAGAAAACTATAGTTATTGGAAAGCTTGTATGCACATTCATGTTAATTCATATGAAAAGGGTATGTGTGACGCTATTACTCAATTTGATACTAATGGCGTTGCCACACCTAAGTCAGAAGCATTATGGAATAATATTATTAAGAAAAATTTATTAAATCTCATTAAATATTTGAATGCACTTGGTAAGCCTATTTCTAATGCAATTGCTACTAACAAAGTTTTGAGATGTCTTACTAGGAATTAACTACCGAAGGCCATTGTGGTCAAAGAAGCTAATGATCTTACAACACTTGATCTCACTATATTGGTTGGTAAGCTTGTAGAACATGAGCAAGAACTTCTTGCTTAGACGAACGTGAAAGGAAAGTTGAGAAAAATAAGAAAAAAGATAAAAGACACGAATTAGGAGGAAAGAACAAAGTCTAAAGCTCTTAGGACTTCAAGTTCATGGTCCTCAAAAAGTGAGCATGTTAGGATAGTGATTTTAGTGATTGTGAAGATTTAAATTCATTATGGTTGTATGAAAGGCTTGTCCAAATTCAACCAATTTTTCACTAACCTCCCAAGGATCCAATGAAGATTGGATACCTAGCTTGTCTTGTTGTTTTTGTAAGAGCATGGTCTTGATATTAGGTACCTAGCTTGTCTTGTTGTTTTTGTAGAAGCATGATCTTGAATTTATGAGGGGAATATAGGTTCTCATTTATGGTGGCTCAAGGCATATGAACATATTCTAATCCTATTGTATATGTGGAAAGAAGATAGATTATGTGATCTAGAAAGTAACAACAAGTTTTGTTTTATTGGTAGAATATACATAAATTACTTTTGGTGTTGTATCCGAGAATGCTCAGAAAAGGTATTTCATTTCATGATGTAGGTGTATCTTCAAGAGACATACTCAACGACGTCGAAGAAGGAATTAATTAACCTGAATCGGTGAAACATGAGGAGGAGAAAGATAACTAATATGAAAAGGATAAAGATGAAAGTTCAATAAAGATGAATGATCATCAAATCAATGACCTTATTGGCTTTATCACAAGTTATAATTTTGAGTACTTTGTCAAAGTGAAAACTGGTTAAATCGTGGTTTTCTAAAGTCTTTGTGGCATATTTTGCATTTGGTTCAACTTTCTTTCGAGAGTTCCTTGTGAAATACAAGTGCATCCTCCGTCATATTATACTGAGAGGTAGTATCAATTTAACTTTCGCTTTGTTAGTAAGTTCTCTCTTTTACTTGTTTATTTCTCTAATCACATGACATACTTGATGTATTGTATATATTATGAGTATTTATTTGTAACATAATTCTTAATTGATAATCATGGTGACTTATCAATTTATATACTTGAAATGTACTCATCATATTATATTTTCATGTATTTTTTTTATTCTTTGTAAACAATTATGTGTACACAAGCATGTATAACTTCATTAAACATCAAGCATAACACATTTGTTATTATATCATATTTTATTCTACTAACATACAACTTGTCAAATAGTTCTCTAACCTTATGCAGAGAGTGTTTGAAATGAGTCTTATGAGGAGTTGAATTACTTTATCGGACTTCAAATAAAGTAACTCAATGAAGGAACACATGTGTGGAAATTACTTTCGCGATCATGTTGAAAAAGAGGATGTTGTGTTCGGGTATTTTGATAGTGAAAATCAACTTGATGATGTTTTCACAAAATGTTTGCAACCAAACCGTTTTTCAACAAACATGAGGAATTGGGGATTATTAATGTCTCCAATATTTCTTTCTTTATTATGATGCTTGCACTTTTTTACTTTTACTCTAATATTTTATTTGAGTATTTATATCATGTGAGTGTAACTTCCATTCTATCAACAGTGAGGTAATATTGTTCCAAAATTTTCCTTGAAAGTAAGATTGTTCTTAGTACATGTTTTAGTTGATTAAAAATGCTTTCTATGTTCTCAAATGATGAAAACCATGAATGTTCATTTTCAATTTTTTTGATTGACAACCATTGTGTGTTCTCAATCTATATGCTTATAATGAATTTATGTATTAATTCTTTCATATTTGTATAAGTTTGTTATTGTATGTACAAATATGTGTTTCTATTATTATTTATTGCATTCGTGCGTGAGTTAAATGTAAGTATGTTAATTGCATGTACGGTTCTTGTTGTAATTGAGTCACATTTTATGACAATATTTTCATTTTGGATTGAGTAGTGACATGTTTTTGTCGCTATGCTAAGCACATGCGTGTGGGGTATCGGGAATTCCATTGTATTGTGGTATGTAATTATGACGCTATAGAAGCAAACTAGTTTGCTCTTGCATCACATTCATTATTATTCATGCAATTGCATTACATGTTTGGTAATGTTTTATGCTTGTTATCTATTAATTTTGCATCATTACATATATATATATATATAGGGACATGTAATTGTATGCTTTTCTTTGCAAAAACACCCCTGAGGGATATATTAGTATTGATATTGGAATATGATACTTCTCACGATTTGCCTT